ACCAAGATGGTACCAGAGCCAGTATCAATGGATTCCCACCCTCCCAAAATGGGATGATTTCTAAAATGATATATAAAACAAAAGAAAGCAATATAATGAACCCATCATCCAGCTTGGATGGCAATTATCAACTTGTGGCCAGCTGTGACCCATGGACTTCCACACACACAAGTCCTCCTCCTGGATGATCCTGAAGCAAATCTCAGACATCATATAGTTAATTTCATGGGACAATTTGAACATCAGAAAAAGGATGAGTGCCAGAGGTTAAAACACAGATATGTAAAAATCACGAGTCACCTCAGAAACTGCTAGAGCACCAGACTTAGACAGAAAACTGATAAATGAAGGAAAAGAAGTATGTACAGTAGCACCTCCATAGGTGACCGACCCCTTCCCTACCTTGACCACCTCCTTACCTTGACCTGAATGTCACAGACCAGACCTGCACCACATGTACATAATCAGTGCAGCAGGCCCAGTTCCTTCTGTTGACCAACTCTATGTTGACCAGTCTGTCACAGTCCCTTGGGTGGTCATCTTACAAAGGTACCGTTTCTACTGTTGACAATCACAGGTAAGCAGTGTAGAAGGAATACTAGACTCCCCAAATCATCATTTTACAATTTGTAATAAAATAATGGGTAAATCAAAGTAAACTTCAATGACTGCAAAAACCAGTAAAGGACAAGTTAATGGGGAACTTCGTAACAGATGGATCCGTGTGATAACATGCAAACCCACTGATCAATTTTCATATTAATGAAAGTAGGATAACCAGACAATAAATACACAAAAGGAAGTATACTGCACCGCTTAGGAAGTATTCTTGGCAATAAAGGAACTACAAGTAAATACATAATTGAACCTGAATTTAAATAAGCCCCTGGATCTAAATACTAGTCTACAAGAAGACTATAGAACCATGGTTAATGATATCATCAGGATGTCATCAGCCAAACCCAAACATGAGAAATTCTGTAAAAATAACCCAGCTTCTGTGCAAATAAATTGTTGGAGGGGTGGGTATATGTGAAAAGGACATAGTATTAGGTAAAAATAAATTTAAGGAACATATTTATAAGTAAGCTACAGTAACAAAGACAGTACAGCATGGATTAGGGACAGACACAGAATTGAGAGTTCAGAAATTAACCCTCACATTTACAGTCAACTGCTTTTCATCAAGGGTTCCATGACAATTTGATGGGGAAAGAAGTTTGTTTTTTAATAAACAAATGGAGGGGAAACAATTGTACACCTGCATGGGAAAGAAAGAAGTTGGACTCTTTCCCTCACCTTATACACTAAAATTAACTCAAAATGATGACAGACCTAAATGCAAAAGCTTAGACTACAAAACTCTCAAAAGAGGCTCGGCACCTATCGCTCACAGGCTAGGGCGCCAGCCACATATACCAGGGCTGGTGGGTTTGACCTCAGCCCAGGCCTGCCAAATAACAATGACAACTACAACAAAAAATAGCCAGGCGCTGTGGCAGGCACCTGTAGTCCCAGCTACTTGAGAGGCTGAGGCAAAAGAATCACTTAAGCCCAAGAGTTTGAGGTTACTGTGAGCTGTGACACCATGGGCACTCTACCAAGGGTAACATAGTAAGACTCTGTCTCAAAAAAAAAAAAAAACAAAACCCCAAAACTCTCAGAAGAAAATACAGGAGTAATTCTTTATGACCTTGGTTCAGGCAAAGCATTTTTAGATAGGATACCAAAAGCAAATGTGGCAAAAGATAAAAATAGATTAGAACACATCAAAATTAACTTCTGGACTTGGTGCCTGTGGCTCAAGTGGCTAAGGCACCAGCCACATACACCTAAGGTGGTGGGTTCAAATCCAGCCCGGGCCTGCCAAAACAACAATGACGGCTGCAACCAAAAAATAGCCGGGCATTATGGCAGGCACCTGTAGTCCCAGCTACTTGGGAGGCAGAGGCAGGAGAATCTCTTGAGCCCAGGAGTTGGAGGTTGCTGTGAGCTGTGATGCCATGGCACTCTACCCAGGGGGAAAGCTTGAGGCTCTGTCTCAAAAAAAAACAAAAATTAACTTCTGAACTGCTAATGATACAACCAAGGAAATAAAAATAAAGTCCTCAGAATGGGGGGGTAAATATTTGCAAGTTATACATATGAGAAGGGAATTATATCCAGCATATATAAACCCCTACAGCTGAATAAAAAGACTAACCACCTAATTAAAGAAAAATCAAGCAGAGGATCTGAACATTTCCCCAAAGAAAACATACAAACGGCCAACGAGCTTGTGAAAATCCATTCAACCTCATTAGCCAACAGGGAAATGCAAAGAAAAATCACAACGTGATGATGCTACCGCACACGCACTAGGATGGCTACAATCAAAAAAACTGTGAGTGCTGGCGAGGTCATGGGGAAACTGGAACCCTCACATACGCTGGCGGGATGGAAAATGGTACAGCTGCTGCGAAAAACAGTTTGGTAGTCCCTTGAAATATTAAACAGCAATTCCATTACTTGGTATATACCCAGAAAAATATTCAAGCACCTCCACACAAAAGTACGTCCAAAAACGTTGACAGCAGCATTATTCATCATAGTCCAAAGGTGGAAAGAACTCCAAAGCTGATGAACAAATAAGATGTGCTTTATCCGTACCACAGAAAATTAGTCAGCAGTCTACACGAAGGACGGAGACACACTATGATGTGGAAACACGGGGCCAAGTGACAGAGGCCAGTCACAGAAGAAAAGTTGGGTGACTTCACTGATAAGGCAAATCCAGGGAGACAGAAAGGATTAGTGGTTGCCAAGGCTGGAGAAGGGATGAGAAAAGTGGGGAGTGACTGTTAATAGGCACAGGGTTATATTAAAAATGTTCTATAAGGCAGCGCCTGTGGCCAGTGGGTACGGCGCCAGCCACATACACTGAGGCTGGCAGGTTCGAACCTGGCCTGGGCCAGCTAAAATGATCACTGCAACCAAATAAGTAAATAAATAAATAAAAATAAAATAGCTGGGCACTGTGGCAAGTGCCTATAGTCCCAGCTACCTGGGAGGCTGAGGCAAGAGAATCGCTTGAGCCCAAGAGTGTGAG